AAATCTGAACAAAAAATTATTAATGCAGTAAATGGTTTGAACCCGGGGGTAACATGTGAAGGTGTAGTCTGATCGTCCGGGTGAGTGTAGTCGTGAGAAGGACTGTTGTCGGTGGTAGTGACTGACGTTTCGACAACCTGTGCAGAAGTCATCTTCAGAGTCAAGTGAATGATTGTCAAGTGGATGATCAACAATCATTCACTTGACTCTGATGATGACTTCCGCACAGGTTGTCGAAACGTCAGTCACTACCACCGACAACAGTCCTTCTCACGACTACACTCACCCGGACGATCAGACTACACCTTCACATGTTACCCCCGGGTTCAAACCATTTACTGCATTAATAATTTTTTGTTCAGATTTTAATTAGCTAACCGGAAACACAGCTAAGCTTTCTCTTAGCGCTTGCTGGAGGTCGTCCACGAACTTAAGGTTCTCTGCAACCTTGGCCCTATTGTGAACGACTTTACTACAAAGCGAAGATTAGATTTTGGCGCGCACAGAAAGCAGAAAGCTACGTAGGCGAAAGCGCCAGTTGCTCGACCTACCTGCGTGGCCCGTGCGACGAAATAACTTCACGGGATTGGCAAAGTTTCAGTCACAGCAAATTAAGCAAAAGCGACATAACAATGACTTCAACCATCGTGTTGTATACAAACCTCACAAACTTTAAAACACGTTCTCTAGTGATACCTGCGAAAGTATTCAGTATAATTTCCGGTAAAATTTTCGCGGACAATCTGATCGATCTCTCTTGTGTGCTAGCACAGCAACTCATTTAATTACAAAATTTAATTCTTTCGAGTAACCGGGTTACCCAAGTAATCGAGGTTTCGAGTTATGGAGAGTCAGGGCTTGAAAAAACAGCCGGTCAACGGACAATGTCTAGTCGAAAATAGGATTTGTGAGGTCAAATCTCGTTTACATTAGTAAGGAAACCATTAAAAGTTTTAACTTTTAACATTTGAAGATTCAATATTGATGGCGCTCGTTAACAAAGAGGGGATGAAAAAAGACTAAGAACTTTAAAAGTTCCGGTTGTGGGTAATGCACTTACGCTGCGTCCTTCATCAAGTGGTCGGGTGTGAAGACGTAGAACTGAAGCGATAGTTGTGCGCACAAACGTAATACTGGTGTTGTCGAACACTGTAGCTGTACCGTGCTTCCCACTTTCCCTGCATTTAGATGGATCAATAAATGCTTTGGAAATTTACTTGTTTCATGTATTTAAACATCTTGTCAAAGGAAGGGGGGATGGGGGCATTTTTTACAGCGATAAGATTTAGTCGTTGTTTGTCCGGCCAAAAATGGGTTGAGTCCGGGCAAAAATAGGTTTGAGCGGACACTTTGACCGGCGCCAACCGGGATAATTATTTCAAGCCCTGACATCTCACTGTTAAAGTATGTGGCGATTCCAGGATGTTTTGGTTTTAGTTATCTGGACAATTTTTCCGTTTTTACAAGAATGAATTAATGAATCGATTGTAAACGCTCATCTATCGATAAAAACGGTCCATTGTGCAGAAATGCATTATGGTAAGGCAGTGGTCTCACATTAGGAACAAGCCTATCCGGGAACTTTTAGGGTAGAGAGCGAGTGGGAAAGCGACCGAGATTGCATTTAAATTCTTGTTCGGAAACCTTTGTGCGTGCCTTTTGTGGCTTGCAACTCTACAAGAAAGCAGGACAAATCTATTTCTTGATATTTGGTGTTTTTAACCACAGGACTCCCATCAACTATCTGATTCTGAACCTCGCAATGTCAGACTCTTGTTACGCGACGCTCATTACACCGGGAAACATTTTCAAATTCAATGTAAGTCACCCTATGGGCTTAGCTGGCGATATTCTATAATAATAATAATAATAATCAACTTTATTTAAAGAGGGTAAAACACATAACAGTATAAAACTGACAAACCAGTGGCCCTCAAATGGGTGGTGCTGACCAATGGGTCTTTCGTTTGGGTAGGAGCAATAACTGCCGTTTGTACTCTGGTTACAATCGCCATCGAACGGTATTTCGCAGTCGTCTACCCACTCGGCAATAAATGGAAATGTTCAACTAGCGACATAAAGGTCTGTATTGTGTTGTTGTCACAGGTCGAGTGCCATGCAGAGCAATATTATTTAATTAATTACAGTATCCATAAGAGATGTAAAACTTGTGGTCAACAAAATCTTGCCCGTTGGCTAGACTGCTTGAAAGTCTGAAATATCTGAGAAATTATTTGAAATTCCTTTTACGAAATGGCAACGGAAATCAAACGCCATCAAGAAAAAGGCGTTCCAATTGCAGATTTCGTATTGAAATATAACAATCCTTCCACTTCCAAAATCTATATTTCAATCGAGTTCACTTACCGCCTAGCATTCCTTATCTTTAAAGCTCTGGATATTTGAAATAGTAATAGTTTTGAGTGACGCCAAATTCAGGGAGTAATCGGATGAGTGGTTTCGAATTGGCCGCCGCAGCCTGAGATTTTTATAGCACGATTAACCCTGAATTGTACGACATCAAGTCCATTAACTAATTGTGTAAGTAACAAAATATGAGAAACTCTAGAATGAAAAATTTAATGTGACAGCACATATACCCTTCTTATTGATAAAGATTTAATTCAGCTTCCTTAAAAATATTACTCGACTCTTGACTGCTCAATTGGCCGCATTGGCCTCGCCGATTACATAAATATCGATTTCTTTAAAAGTAAATTCTTACTTTGGTTACTCTTGGGAATGAAAGGTTTACACGTAGTGTTACACTTTGCTTTACAGAAAATAGCCGCTAGCTCTTGGGTCTTTGTGCTAATATACGATGGCCCTTTGATCGTGATCAACAAACTTGAAAACAACGTTTGCTTGGGCGTTTGGCCCAAGGAGTGGATGAGGAAAACATTTGGGGTTTACTCCAATCTCGGCGTGTTTGGCTCTTTTTTGGTGATGTCTGTGTTATACTCCAGAGTTGTCTACACATTATGGTTCAAATCTGATGTCCAACAAGTCAATCATCGGCAAAGCGTGAGTATTGTCAAGAGTGTCTTTCCTTATGAGAAGAGATTTGGAGAAAACATTTGATCGCGAAGCTCGACGCTGGAACGTTATTAAATATCATAATACCTCTAGCAACTTGAAAAACTGTTCGAGAAATATTTTGACAACGTTTCGGCGTTGTTTCATATCATTACCAAGTCAAAAGTAAAATTGACAGGGTAAAATATTTTTAGTTTTCATTTCACCTCTGGGAATTATAGCCGCACGGATAAGAATAATATCTCTCTGTTTTTATTTCCTTATCTATTTTCACTTGCCAAACAAAATGCACTGTCACGATTCTGGTAATCGCTAACCTCTTTTCGCTAAAACCTAAAATCGAACTACATGTAGCTTAGACATCTACTAATTTCAAATCACGTTACACTAAACAGCTTTAAGATGTGTTTTAGCGTTGGACTGAGTGAGATGTTATTCTTTTGAGACTAGGTTTTATTCTTACAAATCTCAACTCACAGCGAAGGCCAGGAAGCGGTTCACCTTGATGGTCATTATCATCAGTGTCATTTTCGCAATATGTTGGAGCGCGATCCAGGTGCCGTACAGCCTTTTCGTCTTTGCAAACTTCAACGCCGGTCTTGTCCAAATCGGCATTTTTATCGTCCTAGCTCTGTTCAATTCTTCTATCAACCCCTTCGTATATGCTCTGTTCAACCAAAACTTAAGAAGGAAAATGAAAGCAATGTTGGCATGCTGCACAAACAACAGAGTTTATCCAGAGGGATCATATCAAAACAATCAGCCCGACAATCTTAACAACCTGTTAGGCGTCCATGCCATTCGTCCAACTGATACGGCATAAACAGTCAATTGACCGCTAATTCATTCTGATGGAATGAATTATTTTAACCAGACAAAGTGCTCAGAAACATTCAAACCATCTCTTCAAAACAATAAATTTTGAGCTGAAGCAAATTTCTGTCATTATCTAGATAAGCATCATTTATTCATTTAGCCACATGTTGTTTCAGCTGAGGAAATTTAATTTAGATTACAACAAATCGCAGACTTTGTAATCACTGGAGGTATATACTATACCCACAGTCCTACAAACGCCTTTAATATGATACAGTAGAACCTACATTACGCGGTCACTCACGGGAAATGGCAAGATGACCGCTCTATACAGTTTGACCGCTTGACACAGGTTTCTCAGTGGAGGGGCATAGTAGAAAACGATTAAAAACGCCATCTTAAGCCATATTCGACCGCTAGATGTACACAAACTCGCTCAATGCTAGCGGCATTGATTTCGGGGGATAAAGATAGATTAAATATACTTGAAACCCTTTATTAGTAATATTCGAGAGTTTTCGCTTGAAGCGTCCATTCAATACAGTTGGAAAAAATCCAAACAGGCCGTTGGGACTCAGTAAACTCAGTAAACTCAGTGACCATGACCCCTTAATTGAGGTGAAAATTACAGTGTTTATGAAGAAATAATTTGAGAACGTTGACTACTGATCGTCTTATAAAGGGTGACTGCTGAATACGGTGCTGCTTAACACAGGTTCGACTATGGTACGCCCCTACTGACGTCCCAGCTTTGCATTAGCACCAGTGGATAATATCAATTTGCGGTCTTATCCTGAACCTCCTAGAAGACAAATATGTTTGCGTATTACAGTGAACCAATTTGCATTCTCGCGAATTATAATATACTCCGATTCGTGTGTCAGCTTTGTTACTGCACCGGAAAGCTATTCTGCGACCTAATACTGGAATCCCTATGAGGCAATCTCCGGTTAAGGAATGAAAAAAGTTACGCACTAATCAGACGCTTTCAATCAAGTCCAAGTTTTGCAATTCCTCCGGTAGAGAACTGTGGCGTTTAATTCCGAAATCCCGAAAAACAACAAAAGGCAAATAGAGTTGAGCTCCCGCGAAAATATTTGCAAAATTTGGAGATAATCTTGAGATCTTATAGTGGGATCCTTAAGTGGTCTTCTACCATTATAACCTTTCTTTGTAGTAGCAATGAGGTGGCCTCCCAAAAGAAAACTGTTTTTACTCTACCTGCCGTCTTAAACAATTGCACCACGTGCACGGCGAGTTAGACTTCACTATTAACAACTAAAACGATTCCCAATGGTCTTTGACCATTATTATAGCCAGACGTACGCACATTTTCATCAAAAATCTGGGAAAAACCTGATGTAACGGTCAAAGCTCAGACGAGCCAATTCTAAGACGTAAATAGGCAAGATGAAATAGATAGTCTTTAAAATATATTTGAAACAACACTCCTTTACAAAAGTTTCACATTTTGTTTTCGTCTTGCTCGATCAGGGACTGTTTTCCATTAATAAACTAAAAAGAAGCGTTCTTAACTCTTATTTTTCCTGAATACAAATATCGTCAGCACAGGAGTTGGCCCTTTAAATTTTCCAGTCAAGAACTCAAAAATGTCTGGGCATAGTTTGGTCTGCATATCTCGTTGCTGCTCGCCTTATTTAACGAACATAGAGAAATTAAAGTTCCATGTGTCTCCTCGCCCAAGTACTGATAAATGGACTCCCAATGTTTCTTCTTCGCCGATTCTTGGGGAATGAAATTACAAATCGGTTTTTGTCCACTGTACTCTGTAAACAAACAAAAAATAAAGAAAACATCATACAAAAAAATAAAAAAAGCAAAAGAAAAAAAAAAAACGGCTAAGAACCAACAAATAGGTAAACAATGAAAAAATTCAATCAGGTAAGCTCTTACAACCATTACAACATAAAAGTAAAAATATTCCGTGCTCTCAATTGTAAGTTTTCTTTTTATTAATTTTCTCCAAGATAATTATCTATGTCTCAATGGCAGGATATGTTGCTGAAAAACCAAAAAGCATTATTTCTTAAAAACTAGAACTAGTATCTATATTTTAATGTTCTGTTAGGTAAATAATATAGTTTTTTTAGGAGACTTAAAACTCAGGAAAGCGAGTTTTACGAAGTACGGTAGGCCAACTCTGGCCCATTCTTCTCTAATTTTGGGCGAGATTGTTTTCAAATTTGCCGCATAACTAAATGTGAATAAGTGATAATCAATAATTGCGTTCTGCCTGATGGAGTATGTTCGGACTTACAAGTTTGATGGAAAGCTAGTACTTAAAGTAAACAGAAGCCTTAATAATAACGATGGACTGACATTGATTGAGGCAATTCCAGATCTGAGAACTAAAAGTTCTGGATCTAGAGCAATTCCAGACCGAAAACTAAAATCCAATACTCATCGATATCCATTATTAACTAACCGGGACAAACAAAGGCTTCCCAACAAGGTTACCATGGAAACCACTGCCTCCCTGATCTAAGATAATCGAACCGGAACTATGCTCCATATTGAAGTGCGCCCGTACCAGTCCCTTGTGAATAGGCCAGGTCAATCCTGCTAGCTTCATGTACTCGATGATCTCATCAGAAGGAACTCGCACTCCCCAAAGGGTTAACTGAGAATACATCCAAACCGAATGTAATGTTAAGCACGGTGTCGTCAGTATAAAGTTAATAAAGAGAGGTTAACAGTGTATGTTAAAAACGACACTTTCTTAAATCACCTTTTATACTTCGTGATCCTCTTATAGAGAGAGTTCTACTAGATCCTCAAACTTAGAGCCTTCCAGAAAAAAAATTTTAGATTGATGTATGTGCAATATAACCTCACTTTCGAAAATAAATCTTCCAATCACTGCCACAAAACTTTGCACTCGAGACACTGTCATGGATACGTTGGTAAAAAGAAATGAATTGATTATTGATCATACAATAATTGATTTACAGTTTTATCTTTATATGTAATGGCTTGAACATTGCGATGCAAAACTGATTACGATTATGGCGTTGAGCATCTTTCCTGCTCTCCATACTTCTTGCATGCTTCATATTTCGATGAACGCACGCTAACGTATGGACTAATTGATAGTTATTACTAACATCGTCAATTGTTCCATTTAAGAAGTGTTTCTGATCGCGTCCAATAGAAAGCTTAATATCGGGAGACTAGGAAAAGAAAGGAGCACCGTTTAGTCCAAGGTTCTCAGATTGCCAAATTATAGAGAATCCAAATAAATTGCGTTATTTTATTTCTTACCCAGATGTAAGGAGTAGTATCAGTCTTTTTACCAACTGATGATCCATTAACAAACACTTCAATTTCATGTCCTGGAGCAAGATAAAGCAATACGTATACCTTTGAGTACGTGAATTATTCATGCACGACGCGATAAGGCACTGATAACCTTCAAGAGAGCTAGACTAACAACAAGGAGAAAAAATGGACAAATGAGTCAAACATACTTTGCGCATCAAATCGAAACACTAGATGATGCCATTCTACTGGTTCTATAACTTCACTTCCTTCCACGGTAGATTTTCCTAGGTTTCCATGAATGCGTCTGACAAAACAAAACGAAAAAAATAGGAAATACCATCCAAAGTCTCTACAATAGACCACTTTCATGAATGGCTGCCGGATTAATATTCTTTTGTTTAAATTTAAATTAGCCCTTCTGGCCTCGTTCTCTGGTACAAAATTCAAAAGAATACATTATCTCAAGCGAGGCCAGAAGGGCTAATTTAAATTTAAACTAAAGAATATTAATCCAGCAGCCAATTATGAAAGTGCTCTATGTGTTATGGAGAGTGACTAACAATAAGTATCTGGAAATTTACAGTATAGCTAGTCATGCTGACTTGTATTCATTAACTTTTTCATACAGTAGTCGAGTTTGTAGGATTGTAGTGGTTTTCTATTGGTTGATTATGACGTATCAAATGATAACATATTGATAAGTGGCACATCAGGCAAGCGCGGTGATAAGCTCTAATATTCAAGTTTAGGAATCCTGCGATTTCTTGATGTCTTTAGCGAACAAACAATTCATAGATGGAGAGAAAGTTTATTTTCCGGGTCATCGCAGAAGTATCATTATCTTCTGGTCAAGTGTATCGGCCCCTTGACCTTGTCTTGAGGACTTCTTAATGAGGTTCAATCGACTGTGATAAATAAAAAGTAGATAAAAAGAAGAACAAAAAACGATGATTTAAAATAAAGGAATAAACAAATAATTAGATAAATAAAAAATATAACCTGTCGCTAAGGTATAGGCAAAGCATTCCTTCATCACTGCAAACAATAGGCATGACAGTCATGGGGTAGTCCGCAGCCATGTTTACCCACGCACTGATCGTGAAGCTGAAAAGGAAATGATTTCATTTAATATCCTGGGATTATAATAAATACAAATAAATTGCAAAACAATAGTAGAGAAAAGTTTATAGTTAAAGCAAATACCTATCTGTTAAACCAAGAGTATGAATGGATGGTAGAGTCACGTGGTCGTCGACACCGTCAAACATTAAGGCTTGGTTTACTCTGAAACAAATAACAAATAGTTCAACGAAATAAATCAAACACGAACGGCGCGGGAAAAAAAAGATGGCGAAAGAATCTGGAATTTAGGGGAAAACCAAGTTGAGGCGCATAGCCAAGCCACAATGTGGAGTCAATTGTGGCTCATTTGAAGGAAAACGTTGCAAGTTGCCTTAAGCAATAAAGAAAAGACTGGGAACACATAGGAAGTGATGGTATAAAAGTGAAAGATGAGGTAGACACAGGTTGACAGTAGTTTAAACAAAGAAAATTCCCCTGGGTAGAGTAAGCAAAAGATCTTGAACTGTGCACTGAAATACATGCGTGGGAAGAGTTAAACTTTTATCTTAATATATTCAACCTGTCACGGGGATTAACCTGTCTGAACAACGAGCTTCAAGTCTTGACCAGATGACGTCATGTTGACCAAAGACAAACATTCCCAGTCTCCCACCGGTCAGGACTGTGTTGTAGATGTTTCCAGAATCAGTTAAAATCTTGTCTCCTTGCTTTATTTGAACTCTAAAGAGAGGGATTAGCAACGATTGTAACTTGCCTATCTGACTACTTGAAGTAATTACACCATATTATAACGAAATATTTCCAAAATTCATGGCTATTTTGCGTTGAACTGACATGTATAGCCTGTGTACAGCCGGTTATATTACCTGTAATAACCGTCTGCTCATCAGTGCACAAAAGCTTGTGTGAAGACCCCCTGCATAGGATTTTGTGACCGTTGGTGATTGGTAGTTCTAACTGTACTCCTGATTGGCCAAAGGTTCTAGTTTATTGTTTCATGTCAAATTCAACATAACGTCCAACGCGTCGGGTGTTGAATTCAAGCAAGAGCTATGGGAAAAAGCGTTTTCTGAAGTCAAATGTTACTTTGAAATCGAGAGTCTTTTGCCGGAACAAAAGGAGGCAATAAGAGGTTTTTCTAGTGCAAAAAATGTGTTCGTTAACCTGCCTACAGGATACGGGAAGTCTTTGATAAGGGAGTTTAGAATAAACGGCGACTGAACTCAGGCGAGTGCAAGAAGGAATGACAAGATTTTGCAAAAATCTAATTTGGATTTGCTCTGGAATGTTACGTGAATTGTTACATGATTAGTGTTTACGGAGAGCTGTGTTGGATTGTGCGTATTTTGAGAATCTTTTGCTCTCTGCATCGATGAGTAGTTGTTAAAATCAGGCGTTGTAATTGACCGACGAACTTGGTTCGGCGTTGAAGTCGCTAACACATTGTCAACTTCAATGCCTCTCTTCTTCGGCGTTAACTCGTTGGCATCGCTACACGCAGTCCTCTTACGTGCACCTTGAAGAGCTTCATTGTCTGCTTTGTACGGTGGTCCACAGGTGCCACTGCTGTACACTGTAAATCAAACACGTTTCTAATTAAAACCTAGCTTTCTCTTTGCAATTGTTCTTGTTTTCCAAACAAATGTAAGCCTTTTGCTTAGAAATGGGCCTCCTCTGTAGAAATCCGCTTCCTCCGTAGAAATGAGCCTCCTCTGTATAAATGAGCCTCCTCCGTATAAATGAGCCTCCTCCGTGGAAATCAAAGTACTGGTACCTATAGCCCAGGCTTCTCTCTAGTAGCAGTCCGCCATTTTTGATAATGGCGAATTTTTACAGCTCATGTGGCGAAAGTCTGGGCCAGTATGCCATGGCCAATTTTTGCCCCAAATGTGGCACGAAAGTGCACGCAGGTTAATGATCGTTTCTTTTTTTTTTTTTCTGTGTCTGAAATGTGATTTCATATTTTATATAAAACCTGATAAACGATGATGTTCAAATGATGTTCCTAATCAAGTCTTCATCAACGTTTATTTTCTTTTTCACATGATTATAGCCCCTGAAGTCTCCTTTTAAGAGTGCGAACACTCATAGTGAGGCCATGGTAGACCTGTATGTGGCAGATCTGTGATTGTTTTATAATCATAACTTAAATGGAATACTTCTCTATTACCACGCTCTCTATCACATTGAACTCCAAAAAACATAATGTTTAAAAACTATTTGTAACTGCCAAGCTTGTTGGTAGCACAAGTACCCCAGTATTTCTTAGTATTGCTAATATTCAAACAACACCAAGATTATGGGGTACGTGTACACCCGGATTAATTATTTACCTAGTCCATGCTGCAACGATTCAAGTGAAAAATAGGTAGGCCACCAGTAATATTTTGGGAATAGTTAATAAAGATAAGGCCCTGACAGCACACATGAATATCCAACTAGAATGTAAAATATTTCAGGGAAGACAATGTAAACAAGCTACACTAAAATGTAATTCTTAAAAACTGTGTTGTTTTCATTCCTCTTCTGCATGGAACAGGCTAACTTCATTTAGCTATAGTACTCGATCATCGCTTATCAGGTTTCATATAAAATATGAAATCACATTTCAAATACAGAAAGAAAACAAAAAAAGAAACGATCATTAACCTGCGTGCATTTTCGTGCCACATTTAAGGCAAAAATTGGCCATGGCATACTGGCCCAGACTTTCGCCACATGAGCTGCAAAAATTCGCCATTATCAAAAATGGCGGACTGCTACTAGAAGAGAAGCCTGGGCTATAGGTACCAGTACTTTGATTTCCACGGAAGAGGCTCATTTCTACGGAGGAGGCTCAGTTCCACGGAGGAGGCTCATTTCTACGGAGGAAGCGGATTTCTACAGGGGAGGCTCATTTCTAAGCAACAGGCTTACTTTTGTATGGAAAACAAGAACAATGGCAACGAGAAAGCAAGGTTTTAATTAGAAACGTGTTTGTTTTACAGTGTGCAGCAGTGACACCTGTGGGCCACCGTAGCTTTGCCACATAGAGCGCGTATTTCTGATTCTACTTTTGCCTGTTGATCTATGACTGATCTTCGTTTTATCAATAGTTGACGACAAGACTTGCAAAGAAACTTCCCTGTCTGTAAGCAATTGAGAGGCTTTCCAACTCACATTTTACATCGAATTTAGCTTTTCCGTCAGTAAGATATTTTTTTAGTGTGATGTAAGTCCTTCCGAGAACACAAAACACAAATTATTTCCATATACAAGAGAACAGTCATCGATAAAAAACTATTTCTACTCGAGTTCTAGCTAGGCGAGAGGTGAGAAACACGTCAAACGACTCAAAACAAACATCATGACACTTGAGTAGACCTGGATCCGAGATATATGACCAATCAGATGGCACGTAAGAATGGGCCAATCACAGTGCGTACTCAAATCGGCGTACACTTTCACACAAGAAATCGTGCACTGTTGCTCAGACGCGTTTAGAATAAACGGCGGCTGAACTCATGCTATGACATGTACTGCTGTCGTACATTCCATTCAAGGCCATTTTAGCCTTTGATGATTCATTGGCCTTTTGGAAGTCATATAATAAGTATCTATATCTACCTTATCAGACCAATGGATGGTCTGTGAGTGATAAGGAAGCTGTAAGGAGTCTGATGCTGCCACCCTTTCATAAGTGGATCATCCCATAACAGAGTTACCTGAGGAAAAAAAAATGCAAGTTTTATCATTGTTTTCGACGCAACCTACTCGTATTGTTCTATGAAAGTGAAAGTGATTGTATCAAATCACAGAGAGGATAGGGAACTCCCACTCGGATTATCTTAATATGTACTTGACCGAGTGGTCGAAGCGGCTGGGAAAATATTTGGATCGAGGTCATGGCTAACGGACCTCGCGAAGAAGCATTTATCATACGAACAGTAACTGTCAACATTTCGAAAATTTTGTTTCAGCCTAAATAAGACGTGACAGATAGGCGCTCGTGGAACAATTAAAAAACACTCTTCACTAAAAAAATTTTCCTTTGTTTTCTTTTTTTTTATCGGAGTCAGAACGATAATAAGGAAATCATCAAAAAATGCGACTTGTTTTTGTAGTCGTATCTCACTCATGAAATGTAGATTTAGTCAAGCCTTTGAGCGAAGCAAACTCCTGCTATTTGAATTTTACGCGCCTTTGCTTATCGAATTTATTAGGAAGAGGGGGATTTCACCTAAACCAAGTCAATAAAAAGCGACTTACCTCCAAATGCAATCATCCACCTATATTGCCTGTCAGAATCTCTCACAAGATCAATTGTCTCCCAAGTTTTCACATTCTCAAGATCAAAGGATTTTTATTTCAAGCACTAGTTTGCACGCCATTTAGCACGCACGTTTCGCAGAGAAATATCGCGGTGGCACCTGTCAGCGGTCGACACCTTGACTGGTGAACCTTAAGGTATTATGCATAAGATATGGCGGAGAACGGCCGATGGCGGGATTTTTATTTTATTTTTTTATTTTTTAAATTCCCCTTTTCTCTTTTTCTATGGAAGTTCCAGTGATGTACCTTATGCTAGAAAAAAATCAAAAATTACCTGATTTTGAGTATCTCCTGAGTGCCACAATGCTTGCGCTAAGTTTGAACCTGGTCCAGTGTTTGAATCTACAAGCTAGATGTATAAGACACGCCTTAAAAATCAAACCAAATTTAACCACTTCACAGCTCCATTACATCCATCCAAATAATAACGGAAGAACGAAACAAAGAAATCAAAGAGACACATCGAGGATTATTTCAAGTGAGTAAGACAAAGAAGGAATATGAACGGATTCGAACCCCAGACTTTCCGATTTTCACATCTTCGCATTTAACAACTATCCAATAAGCTTGCGTTGAATAAAACATACCATAAAGTTGCCAATGGAATCATCTTTTTTCCTTTTTCTGATGTAAGCATTCTAACGTAATGTCTCAAAATCTTTTGCATATCAGTCAGAACTCAGAAGCTGTAATATTCCATGGCAAGGAATTTCCATTTCTATTTCAGTGTTTCGTTTTGAATAGTGTTGCAGTATTTTTTTACTAAGGGAGTAGTGTTGCGTTATATCACGGTGTCAGTTTGTAATTTAGTTATGGATTAACTATTAACTCTTACCTTCAGTTGCAGTCCCTTTATACCAGCGTGGATATCACCTTGGCCGAAGTTGATGTTTTCTCTTCTCCACATCACAACATAGAACTTTCGATTCGACTGATACCCAAACACCACGCCCAAATAATCAGAACGCTCGCGATCTTTGACATAAACTGTTCCACTATAATCAACGGGTCCGTAGCGTGTAGAGCCTAAGATATTTCAACTATAAAGTTAGAGGTGGTACTCGAAGGAAGGCACAGTAGGTAATGCTCTTTACAGTGGTTACTGAGTGAAAAGCGGCACCAGGTGCAATTCAAATTTAGAAACTACGATTATACAAACGAGATCCCAACCTAAAATTGTGCTCGCCAAAATTTATATACTGTACGCTGTCTAAGAACAATGTGCCAGAAGAGAATTGACAGACAAGGAACTTACATATGAGCATCCCTGGGTGATTTGTGTCGGTCAGGTGCTCAACATCGACGCCCTGGAAATTATAGATAATTTAGAAAGATAATGATGTTTTGTAATATTCTTCCCCACATATGACAGCTTCAATGAAACTGTCAGATCATCCAGCTTGGAATTATTGCAGCGTCATTCTGAGAGAATTCCGTGATTGCCTAGATAATCTTAAATCTTTGAGGAGGAAAAAGAGACCAACAAAATTATTTTATCAAAATGTCAAGTTTTCTTTCTCTTTTTATTCCTTAGGGCCGGGGTTGATCCAAGCTAAGATTTTTATGATTATGATAATGTTAATGATGATAATAATAATAATAATAACGATTGAGATAATCTTAATGATGATACTATCTTACAATTATTCCTTGGCCATCCATATTTTCTTCTATGTCTCTCATTAATTGCTTGCCTTTTTGCGTTATCAATATTATTACCATTTTTCAGTCTTCCTATGCAAATATATTGTGCCTTCCTTCAACGCGAAGAAAGCTTTAAAGACAAAGAGGAAAAAAAGAGGTAAACCTCACAACCGAGACTTTTTTAAACTTTTTTCTTTACCATTTTTGCCACCTTCCACTGCGGGACGGGGTCACTGAGTCCCGGGTACAAATCAACGGTGAAATAATCCAGGAAGCTTGTTTTGCTGATATGTTTTACATGGGGACAAGTGTCTTCAACATCCGGGACACCATCACCATCATAATCTTCAACGCATGCGTCACCCACAGGGAGTGCTGAAAACAAGATAACATCGTTTATGTATGTGCCTAAACATACCGATCCTATGTGGACGTCTTCACTGTGACTTAAATATTTGTATTTCAGCTCCTTGACAAATCGGTTCTGACAGGTGGCGGTTACAGTATATTTAACAAATAGATTCATTGATGACGTGGAAATGTGAGGAGGTAAGAACAAAAAAAAGTGGCACACAAGGCGCGTTCGAGTGTGATAAATATGTTCATGTCACATTCAGTCGTCTGCTATGATCTATTACTGTACAGACCCACGGCAACACGGAATTTATTTGTTTTGATTTGATAAAAGAGCAAGATTTGGTAGTGACGTCATCTATACTTCTGTTCTCCAATATATCATGAGTAAAAACCAATCAAAATGCTTTTATAATTTAAATTATCATTTAAATATATGTATCAGTCCTATAACGAAAGGAATGACTAATCTATGCAGTTGTTATATTGATTCTTCCCTTTGATACCAATCTTCAAAATATCTTATAAAAATTAATAGTAGCTTCAACTCCTTGTGGATTTTTTTAACCAACAAAAACTTCTGTTTTCTTAAATCAAACCTTTTGTTTCGTCTCGCAAGCGACCGTGGTTATTCTTTGCTTCATACCTTTGACATCATAAGATAGCTTGTTATGT